AACTGCAGGCCTAGCCCACGACTTGCGGGTCAGGGCCTTCAGGCTGTGGGTTGGTGTGAAGATGCTTTTGGAGGCATTGATGGTGGGGGGTCACCAGCAACCAGAACCTAGGTCTCTTGGCCCCTCACTGCTTCCTTGCCACACAGAAAGCTGGTATCCCCGTTACGTGTCTAAGAAGCTATTTGCCTGGTCAACTCCAGAGCAGAAAGCACTGAGGGTCTAGGACCCTGGCGAGAGCCGTGTGCTAAGCAGGATGCACAGGCTCTTAGGAGACAGTGCATGGGAGTGGGAGCGCCCCCTGTTGAGAGAGGGTAGAAGGATCAGGTTCAGGGTCCTTGCAAAATGCCCAGACTCTTCCTTCCCTTATTCAGAAATATAATCTAAACTCAATTATTTTTACAAATGAGGAATATTATACATATAAATAAGATGTAGACCCTCTGCTCTAACTCAGATTTGTCTGAATCAAATTCTGTGTTCTCCCAGTCTGCATACTGCCTGCAATTTAGATTGTAGCTTTCTGGGGCTTAGGGAGCTTAGGGAATAATTGATTTAGACTTGCTAAGTATGGTATGCGTGTTGGTTAGTGCATTTGGAGAGTTTTCACATTGATATATTTCTCCAGGTGGGACTATCCAGCAGGTGTTAGATACGTACCTAGAATTTGGGGAAAAGATTGGCATGGAGATATGGATTGTGGCTGGTGATACCTAGCTCATAGTAAGCAAGAATCCAGTTGTATATCCTTGTATCCTTTCCTATAAATATATATTTTTCAAACAGAATTGGAATTATACTGAATTCACTGACTCGTAACCTGTGTGTAAAAAATGAACTTTTTCTTTAAACCTCTTTACGGAGACACAATACCTATTTAGAAGAGGTAGGCGCGCCATCTGGTGACCACACCCAGAACTGCGAGTTGAACACTGCTAACCAAAGACAGAGGGAAGGAGAGAAATAATTGCCAGGCCAGGGAAGAAGACTTGATACTGGGGAGGGGAATGCCTTAATCCCAACTTACGCTGGACTGATACAGTAGCAGCCTCTTTCTGGCGGGTAAGGTGGCACAAGAAGCAGCATATAGTTAGATAGTCTTCCCCTGTCTCAAGTCAAGTGTGTGTGCATATGTGTGTGTTTAAATGGAAAGATCTTATACTATTTTCACTTTTTCTCTGATTGTGGAAGTTATATGTTTCTACTAGAAAAGATCTGCAAATGTAGAAATGTATAAAAGATATAAATTACCTATAGTTCCTCTACCCAGAGAAAATAATTAATATTAACATGCATATACTTACATTGTGTGTATACATATCTCCTTTTATATACTCTGTCAGTTTACTTTTTTATATAGTATATATGTATATTACTTTACATCTCTGAATAGTGTACATTCAAATACCTTTATGTATTCATATATATTTGTAGTTATATCTTATGTCACATATATTTTATTTATTTATTTTTATTTGTACATGTGCCATGATATTCCTATGGGTATTCATTCCAAGAATCACACTGCTTGATGAGGAATGACAATCTTACCTTGTGTAATCAAGCTGGCTAAAACTGAATGAATTTATTATAAGGGTTTAAAAAAGTAAGTTTCAGTATCAATAGTGTACTTATATAAAGCTAAAACTTAGCTTTCTTTTTCTCTGGTAAAAGGACAAAGTCTATTGGACTATTTGTCTCTCTTGATAAGAGATTGTGAAAGGCTTTTCTTTACGTTTTAAATAATCTGCCTAGCCAGAAAGGATTTTGTGTCTTACCAAAGTAATTTCCTATGCTTCATGTTGTCTTTATCATCAGGACTTTGATTACTTAAAACCAAGTCTTTTCAATATTAAAAGACCTAAGTTTTGCTCACAACTCTGTAAACTTCTGTATTTGCCTTTAAAATCTTTTGTCATTTTGTTTAGATAATTAAGTAGTTTCATAATGCTCTGTGATCCTTCTTAGTCAAGTGTCCATACCTTTTTATTTTTGACTAACTTCCCAAAATCGAATTCTAAATTAAGTCTTTTTGACCTCAAACTAACTTCGGAATTTCTCAAAGAGGCCCTGGAAAATCTCAAAAGATTTATTCTCTCTCCTTATAAAAAGAATATAAGATATTAAACTAATTAGGCTTATTTGATATTTTAAACTTTCTTTAGGTTCTGTTTATATGTTATTAGTATAAGTGTTCCAGAAATTGTATGAATTATCTGAAAGTTCTAGAATTCTGATATGTCTTGGTATAATATTATCAGTCCTAATTCTAGTTATTATCTTAAAATACTGTGTCACAGAAATAACAAATTTCCTTATTAATTGCATTATAATGTACTCTCCTCAGATCTTTAACCATGGCCATTTTAAATCCTTCTGTCATTGATAGACAGTTACTGTTTTATTCTGATGATTTTGTAAAAGTGCTTCATCTTCAAGGAGATTCATAGAAAGGACTCTGACAAGTACAGATTTCTGATAACTTTCACATCATGCCACTGAACTGGGTAAGAATTTACAGAACTCTAATAAAAAAACTGGATTAATAAAACTGCTAACAAAAGATCAAGATCAACAAGGGTTAATTTCCATGGGACTGACTCAACTCATGAGGATGATTGTAATTTTTTATGACCTTTTGTTTGAAACATCCTGGTTCTTTAGTGTTATGTTTTCCAGATTTAAGGGAACTTTTTCTCTTAAGCCATCTATGATTTATAGCTATTTAGTAAAGTATATCCTTATGAACAAAGGTGAAACAATGACTTTTTCTCCCTATCTGAGCTCTCCAGAATTCAGAAACTGAGTGAGTAGTTTTCTGGCAATGTAGTTATTTGCATAGATTCAGTAAGAATCTGTTCTTGTAACAAGATACAATTAGAAACATTAGTTATATTAACAAGGCTTTAACTGTGTAGGGGAAGAAAAATAATTTCCCCTCTACCCTTTTAAGGTCTTGGCTGAGATCTGCTGTAATAAAAGACAGATTAACAGGAGAAAAACAAGCAGAAGTTTAATGCCATGTACACCTCTTGTATACATAGAGGGAAACTGAGTAACTCCCTGAAATGGCCCACCTTAAATACTATCTTCAGCTAAAGACAAAAGACCTTGGGGTGGGGGGAAGTTGCAGGAGATTACTGTTAGTCAACCAGGTTCATTTGCCTGATGTTCAGCGTGGCAAATGATGAGATAACTGACGTTTATAGCAGAGGAAAAGTTTATTCACAAGGCAGCCATGTGAGGAGACAGGAGAATAACTCAGATCTGCCTCCCCAAAAGCAAGGGGCTTGAGATATTTACAGGTTAAAGAAGCAGAGTGCACGCAGGCGTGGGGAAAGTTGATTGGAGGTAGGGAAAAGGTGAGGTAATCGGTGTTCTGTGCAGGCATATCT